TCTACTTTAACTTGCTCAGAAGGTGTATAAGTTCTAATATTGCTTTTACGAACAACAGTTGAAGCTTTAGCATGATCCTTTATTCTAACAGGGAAAGGTGGTTTCTCAACATAAGAAGTAGGAACAATAGGATCATTATAAGTGGCAGTCTTTTCTTCAACTTTAATAGGTGCAGCTACTTTTACTTCTATGGGAGGATGATATTTAAACCACTTCTCCTTAGGGAGATCAACATAAGTAGCAAAAGATTCACAGAAAGAAGCTACTATCTCAGAGTCAAGTCCATATTTAGTGCTAAACTTACGAAAAATATCGGTATCTATAAAATATTTAACACAATCAAACTTAGGTGTCATACCTGACTCCTTACCTTCGTCGAGGTCCCAATCTTCAGAGTTGCGTTTAATTCTATCCAATAAATTCCATCTGAATTCAATAGTCTTCATCATAAAAGAGCCAGCACAAGAAGTATCGAGCATGGTGCGATTGTTATCAGAAAGCCGAGCATAAAAACTTTGCATAATTATTTCTCTTGGGAGCTCATGATTGGGGCATGAATATAACATTGATTTAAGCCTCCCCCAAGCTTGAGCGATGCTTTCTCCTTCGCGAGGCCAGAAATTATATATATAATTGCGATCACGATGAACAAGATGCATAGGGTAATACTTTTGATGAAATTCCAACTTCAATCTTTTATAGTCCCATGATCTCATATCATCACTTAGCCTATACCATATCAATGCATCTCCCTTCAAAGATAAAGGGAAGACCTTCTTCTTAGCAACATCATCGGGTATACTTGCAAGCTTAAATAATCCACAAACTTCATCCACATATATTAAGTGCTCATCAGGATGCTTTGTTCCATCTCCTGTAAAAGGGTTAGCTAGCAGTTTTTCCATCATACCCGAAGGAAATTCAAAAGGAGTTTGATTTTCAATAGGTTCAGTAGGTTGAGGAGCAACTCTTTGCTCTACTGGACGGGGTGAAGATACCCCGAACAAGCACCTCAGAGAATTACTTTCCATAGTAACAAGTGATAGTAAATTTCAGCATACTATATAAAATTTTCCTTACCAAATTCCACCTACCAAAGGCACTACACTCCCTAGTAACGGCGCCAGAAAAGAGTCTTGATGACCCACAAGTATAGGGGATCTATCGTAGTCCTTTCGATATGTAAGAGTGTCGAACCCAATGAGGAGCAGAATGAAATGATAAGCGGTTTTCAGCAAGGTATTCTCTGCAAGTACTGAAATAAGTGGTAATAGATAGTTTTGTGATGGGATAAATTGTAACGAGCAACAAGTAACAAAAGTAAATAGAGTGCAGAAAGATGGCCCAATCCTTTTGTAGCAAAGGATAAGCCAGAACAAACTCTTATAATAGGAAAAGCGCTCCCGAGGACACATGGGAATATCATCAAGCTAGTTTTCATCACGTTCATATGATTCGCGTTTGATACTTTAATAATTTGATATGTGGGTGGACCGATGCTTGGGTGCTGTTCTTACTTGAACAAACATCCCACTTATGATTAACCTCTATTGCAAGCATCCGCAACTACAACAAAAGTATTAAGGTAAACCTAACCATAGCATGAAACATATGGATCCAAATCAGCCCCTTACGAAGCAACGCATAAACTAGGGTTTAAGCTTCTATCACTCTAGCAACCCATCATCTACTTATTACTTCCCAATGCCTTCCTCTAGGCCCAAATAATGGTGAAGTGTTATGTAGTCGACGTTCAAATAACACCACTAGAGGCTAGGCAACATACATCTTATCAAAATATCAAACGAATACCAAATTCACATGACTACTAATAGCAAGACTTATCCCTTGTCCTCAGGAACAAATGTAATTACCCACAAAGCATATTCATGTTCATAATCAGAGGGGTAACAATATGCATATAGGATCTGAACATATGATCTTCCACCAAATAAACCAACTAGCATCAACTACAAGGAGTAATCAACACTACTAGCAACCTACTAGCACCAATCCCGGACTTTGAGACAAGAATTGGATACAAGAGATGAACTAGGGTTTGGAGATGAGATGGTGCTGGTGAAGATGTTGATGGAGATTGCCCTCTCCTGATGAGAGGAGTGTTGGTGATGATGATGGTGATGATTTCCCCCTCCCGGAGGGAAGTTTCCCCGGCAGAACAGCTCTACCGGAGCTCTAGATTGGATCCGCCAAGGTTCCACCTCGTGGCGGCGGAGTCTCGTCCCGAAAAGTTCCTTCTTATTTTTTTCTCATCGAGAGACTTCATATAGGAGAAGATGGACGTCGGAGAGACACCAGGGAGCCCACGAGGTAGGGGGCACCCTAGGGGGGCGCGCCCCCATCCTCGTGAGCAGGGTGTGGGGCCCCTGGCCTTCATCTTTGGCGTGGATTTTTCTTTATTTATTTTAAGATGTTCCGTGGAGTTTCAGGACTTTTGGAGTTGCGCAGAATAAGTCTATAATATTTGCTCCTTTTCAAACCCAGAATTCCAGCTGCCGGCATTCTCCCTCCTTATGTAAACCTTGTAAAATAAGAGATAATAGCCATAAGTATTGTGACATAAAGTGAGACAACAGTCCATAATGCGATTAATATCGATATAAAAGCATGATGCAAAATGGGCGTATCACACCCACATATCAAATTATCAAAGTAGCGAACACAAATCAAACCAACATGACGAAAGTGACTATATGAAATTCTCGTGTACCCTCAAGAACGCTTTGTTTATTATAAAAGACCGTTTTGGCCTGTCCTTTGCCTCAAAAGGATTGGGCTTCCTTGCTGCATACTTGTTACTACTATCGTTACTTGCTCGTTACAAACTATTTTGCTATCAAACTACTCGCTACTTACAATTTCAGCACTTGCAGACACTACCTTACTGAAAACTACTTGTCATTTCCTTCTGCTCCTCGTTGGGTTCGACACTCTTACTTATCAAAAAGAGATACAATTGATCCCCTATACTTGTGGGTCATCAAGGCTATTTTCTGGCGTCGTTGCCGGGGAGTGAAGCATCTTTGGTAAGTGGAAATCGGTAAAAAAACATTTATATAGTGTGCTGAAATTTATTGTCACTTATTACTACGGAAAACAATCCTTTGAGGGGTATGTTCGGGGTATCTTCGCCTCATCCAGAACCACAATTAGTTACTCCTCAACCTACAACACCTACTGAAAATATTGAATATGGAATTCCTTCGGGTTTGATAGAACAACTGCTACCTAATCCTTATGTAGGAGATGGAACCGAACATCCCGATATGCACTTGATATATGTGGAACAAATTTATGGATTATTTAAGCTTACAGGTTTATCCGGAGATGAGGTGATGAGAAATGTTTTCCCTTTATCTTTGAAGGGAAAAGCATTAACATGGTATAGGCTACGCGATGATATTGGATTATGGAATTGAAATCATTTGAAATTGGAGTTTCACCAAAAAAAAGTATCCTATGCATCTAGTTCATCGTGATCGAAATTATACATATAATTTTTGGCCTCGTGAAGGAGAAAGTATCGCTCTAGCTTGGGGGAGGCTTAAGTCAATGTTATATTCATGCCCCAATCATGAGCTCTCAAGAGAAATTATTATCCAGAATTTCTATGCTCGGCTTTCTCGTAATGATCAAACCATGCTTGATACTTCTTTTGCTGGTTCTTTTATGAAGAAGACTAATGAAGTCCGGTGGGATCTTTTAGAAAGAATTAAATGCAACTCTGAAGATTGGGAACTCGACGAAGGTAAAGAGTCAGATATTAAATTTAAGTATGATGGTGTTAAATCTTTTATGGATACTGATGCTTTTCAAAAGTTTAGCACTAAATATGGACTTGATTATGAGATAGTAGCCTCCTTTTATGAATCATTTGCTACTAATGTTGAACTCCCTAAAAAGAAGTGGTTTAAATATCACCCACTTATCAAAGAAGAAATTAAAGAACCGGTACCAGTTAAAGAAGAAGCTATACTTTATAATGTTAGATCCAGTTGTACCTACTGCTTATTTTGAGAAACCTCATTTTCCTATTAGGATAAAGGAATATGCTAAAGTTTCAACTGTGGTTAACAAAAGCTCTTCATTGCAGGTAGCAGCCGCTGCGTCTAGAAAAAGAATGGATGTACCAAAAGTCATTGTCGGGTGTAGCAAAAACCTACCACACTTGCAGCAAAAAGTCTTCGTTCACCGTCGCGGGTTGCAGCTTGGTCGTGACTGATGTAGCAAAACGTGATGCCGGTTATAGCAAAAAGCGGCACTAGTTGTAGCAAAAATGCGACGCTGGCTATGTGTTGTAGCAAAACGTGATGTGGTTGTAGCAAAATGCTATGCCGGTTGTAGCAAAATGTTATGCCGGTTGAAGCATGTAGCAAAAAACTGTGATATTAGATTTGCTAGGACCAGTGCCGCCCCATCCTCATCGTCTAGCGTGTGGCCGTGGTTGCATGCTTGCAGCTCTGGTTGCTGCGCCTTGATAGTTCCTGTAGCTTTGCCGGCGGCGACTTGGAGCCGTAGTTGGGCGGAGGCCATGACTGAGATCCGAAAGTTGCAGACGGCCATGGCCGTGGGAAGCTAGCGGGGATATGAATTGGGAAGGAGGATGGGAGAGGGGCTCGCCGACCATGAATGAGAGGCGGCGTTGGGCGCCGTCGCACGCGAGCACTCGCCGCCGGTGAGAGAGTTTCTGGAGGATGCGACCAGCGTGGGGCAGGTGTGGAGGAGCAGAGTCGTGATGGGCTGCAGATAGAAAAAAAGAAGGAAAAATCATGCGGGACCCATCATATACATGTGTCTTGCGCGGGGTGGTTTGTTTCCGTGTCGCGTGAACCAGCATGGCGCGCGAGTCCGGCTGAAAATTCGACCGATGCACCGGATCAAAACGTTTACCACCTATATATGAGAGGTCTAAGAACGTTAGCTGCAGCGGCAGTGCGTGCTTAGGTCTGAACAATAGCTTCCCCAACCCCTCAGGCTCCATGGCGAGCATGGACGTCGAGCGAAGCAACCCGGCGGCGCCGTCCTGGCAGGCGGGGCTTGAGACCGTGAAAAAGTGGCAGCGGATTCGATGCAGCATGAGGAGGGCTTGGCCGGCCATCTGCGTTGTGGCGGCGACCCTGCTCGCAGTCGTCGTGCTCTCCGCCGCCCGGGATGGCTATGGCTTGCCGATGGTACCCAGCAGCTGGCTCTCAGTAGAAGGTACGCACTTAAGACGAGGCATAGTTGGATATCGAATTGCTTGATTTGTTGTCCTGTGCATGCAGCTAAGTCACAAATTACCACGGCGGTGGACGAATATTTCTCATTCACGTGAATCCTTTTTTCCTGTTTTACGGCTTAATTTTCCGTGTTCGATCGATGGACAGAAAGTGAAATTCTTAGAAGTATGTACATTGTTTCTGTAGATAATAATGGTCGGTTGTTTGAATGCAGCATTGTCTTGACCACGACATCGGCGAATTGTACGTTAGCTATGGCCATCCGTTTTTGTGATCCATGCGTGAACAGTCATTTTCGTTGTTCGCCCAAATAAAGTTTTGCAGGTCAATATATTACAACTTTGGTGTTTGAAAATTAATTCTTTATACAAGATAGTGTTGGTCGATTGAGTGCTGAATTTTCCTTGACCACGATATCGCTGAATTGTACGTTAGCTATCGGCATCCGTTTTTGTGATCCATCCGTTTTTGTGATCCATGCGTGAACAGTCTTGTATTTTGCTTAGACTGTGTGGTGCTGTCAGGTTTTCGTCCAATAATGCTCGTTTCAATGGCAAACGTGCACGGTGGGTTTTCTGGCAATGCGTTGGACTCGTTACCCTCTTTTCCTTCTCCCTGGTTATGTCCGGAACTTTGTATTTCTGTTTAATGCAAATGGAAAGGGGTATGCCTGGTGCAAAAAAACAAACTTTGCAGGTCAATATATTATACTTCAGTGTGTCAAAATTAATTCTTTATAAAAGATAGTGTTGGTCGATTGAGCGCTGAATTTTCCTTGACCACGACATCGCCGAATCATACGTTAGCCATGGGCATCTGTTTTTGCGATCCGTGCGTGAACATTTTTTGTTTGTTCTCCCAAATAAAACTTTGGAACTAAAACTTTGCAGATCAACAATCTATTGCAACTTCAATGTTTGAAAAGAAAATTTATCTTGACCACGAGATTGTATGGCCATCCGTTTTTGTGACCCGTGCATGAAATTTCTTTCTTCTCCCAAATAAAACTATATATGCAACTAAAACTTTACAGGCCAACAATATATTGCACCTTCGTTTGAAAAATAATTCTAGATTTTTTGGTGTGCCACAAAAACTTTAAATAATAGAATTTATGAGTAAAATACTCATTTTAGATATCTATATGGGGCACCAAGAAAAATCTAGGGTTATTTTCTAAGCATTGAAGTTCCAATATATTGTTAACAAGCTTGAGCTTTGTATGTTTTGTCGTATGAGAAGAAAAACCGAAATTTAAGCATGGATCACAACACAAAAATCGATGGTCTGGATAAGGGTGTGTACGTATTATAATGGTGCTCAATCACAAATTTTCCTATCAATTTTTAAAATTTTGGAATACGAACTTGCTAATTAAATGTCTTTATAATTTTCTCTAGATGTACCTCCGTCCAATCTCACCACCGACCAGCTCCTGGACGGTCTGCTCACCGCGGAATTTGGCTCGCGCTCATGCCGGAGCCGGTACGAGTTCGCCAGCTACCATGACAAGAAGAAGAAGAAGAAGCACACATCACATAAACCATCCCCCTACTTGCTCGCCAAGCTCCGAAGTCACGAAGCGCTCCAAAAGCAATGCGGCCCCGGCACGGCCCCGTACAGGGCGGCGATCCGGCAGCTCAAGTCTGGAAATGGCATCGTCACATCCGACAGTGAAAACTGCCGCTACCTGGTCCCCATAAGCTATCGAGGCCTCGGGAACCGGATGCTGTCCACAGTGTCAGCCTTCCTCTACGCTGTGCTCACCGAGCGCACCCTCCTCGTCCAGCACGACATGGCCGCCCTCTTCTGCGAACCTTTCCCGAGGACCACGTGGCTGCTCCCGTCCTCAGGCTGGTTGGGTGGTGGCTTCCCGCTTGGACACCTCAAGAAATACGGCAAGGACTCCAAGGAGAGCCTCGGCAACATGCTCAAGGCCAATGTGCTATCCGTGGGCGACAATGGGAACGCGTCGTGGTCGGACTCGGACCGGCCACCGTACGTCTACCTACACCTGGATGGCGGCTACGGTTTCTACGACAAGCTCTTCTACTGCGACGAGCAGCAGCGGCTCATCCGCGGCGCGCCGTGGCTGCTGATGAGGACAGACAGCTACCTCGTCCCCGGGCTCTTCCTCATCCCATCTTTCCGGGACGAGCTGGAGCGGATGTTCCCGGAGAAGGACGTCGCGTTCCACCACCTCGGTCGGTACCTATTCCACCCGGCCAACGACGTGTGGCGCGCGGTCACCAGATACTACGACGCCCACCTCGCCGGCGCCGGGCAGCGCGTCGGCATACAGATACGGGTTTTCACACAGAATAAACCGTTGCAGAAGGTCCTGGACCAGGTTCTCTCGTGCGTCCGTAGGGAGAAGCTGCTTCTCCCGTCCATACAGACGAACAACGCGTCTGTGCTGGTCACCTCTCTGAGCTCGTGGTACTACGAGAGGATCAAGGCCGAGTATGGCGGCAGCCGGGTGCACCAGCCGAGCCACGAGGGGTGGCAGAAGATGCGGGATGCCTCGCAGGACAGGAAGGCGTTGAGCGAGATGTACCTGCTCAGTACCTGCGACGTTCTCGTCACCACCGGGTTTTCCACCTTCGGCTACGTGGCGCAGGGGCTCGGCGGGATACTGCCATGGATCATGCCCGCCACGCCCTTCTGGTCGACCGAAACGGGGGTGGTACCAGACCCGCCGTGCATGCGAGCCATGTCCGTCGAGCCTTGCTTCCACTCGCCGTCCAACTACGGCTGTGCGGCCAGGAAGGATGTGGACGTGGGGACACTTGTGCCGTACATCCGGCATTGTGAGGATGCAAGCTGGGGGATTAAGATTGCCAACGAAAGCATGCAGCCACCGGTAGCTTAAATGTGAGCATACTTCTCTATCGCTAGCTTGTAATTTGTACCGAGCCAGTGACCTAATAAGTTAATTTTGTTATATAGTAAATAGCATAAAACTACTACTTTACTAGCTAAGGTTTCAAAAACTATCAATTTTTAATTTTTCTCAGATTAACTACCAATGGGTGGTCGGCTATTCAGAAAACCCCAAATGACCATTGTTTAAAAATTAAACCTCTTTATGACAGGCCGGGCCCGCACCTAAACAATCTGTCTGTTTGACCGTTAACTAACATGTGGGGCCCACATGTCAGTGTCTCACTACTGCAGGATGCTGCTAACGCGACACTACAATCAGAGACCATTTCCGCCCGTGTGTTGCAACGGGAGAATATATATATATATCATATGCCCAACCTAATAAATATGGTTCGAGGATCCCTCCCTCAGCACACATGTGTCCACGTCATCACTTATCCTCCTTTCCGCCCTCGTTGACGATGCCCACGGTGTTGAACGTGATCAATCCCAACACAATGTGTTTGGCTGCCACATGACACACCTTACCGTTATCGACACCGTGTCCTAGCCTCAAATCTCCGTTCTCTCCCTTGACTTGGCTTCTCCTCCATTCCTCCTCCTATTGACATTAACAAAACCAAATTCCAAATCACTCGTCCACCCTATTTGATCCTTCTCAAGGCATCCGACCGATTGGCAACGAAGCACAGGCACCTAGTCGCTCATATTTCCACAGTGAAAGAAGAGACTTCATGGTTCAACAGACCCGAGATGTCTTGAACAGAGCATAAAACAAGCTAAGCATATGTTCTTACCAACACCAAACAGAGGATATAATTTATAGCTACCAAGATGTATATTCGCAATTATACGAAAATTTCAAAAACTGTTGTTGCAGATATAACACCGCTGTTACGGAAAAAAAAGATTGCAAGTGATTCAGTTATTCGAGTATTTTCCCATTAGCCTAGTATAAGGAAACACCAAGTAGCATCCGTGATTGATCAATTATAGCTACCAAGATGTATATTCATAATTATACAGAAAAAATTGCAAACTGTTGTTGCAGATATAACACCGGCGTTACAATACAAAAAGATTGCAGGTGATTCAGTTATTCGAGTATTTGCCCATTAGCCTAGCAAGAATACACCAAGTATCATCCGTGATTGATCACTGGGACATACTTTGTGCTTCATAAGGCTAACGCAGGCATACAAATGGATAAAAACCAATATTGTATTTTCTTTTCGTCCGAAATAAGGCTCCCTAGTAGTAATAGGTAGCTGCTGACACCCAAAGCTGAAGAACAAGAGAGCAGAATGTATATTCCCTAACACCACATCACAAAACGGAATTAACTGGAAATAGATCAAGCAAAACTGAACTAATCACAACATCCCACTGCGACAGAAATTAAACACACTTCTTGGAACATCATCATAATTTTTTTTGATTGGTAAGTGGAGCAGAGGTATCCTTGACATGTGATGTTACTGGAACCAACTCATCAGTCTGCAAACTACCATCTGTTCGAATGCTACAGAAGCAATCTACATTTCAAGATACAATGCAGGAGTATAGATTGTTAGGACTTCACCTGTTTTTGGTTTAAAAAAAATAGGTATCTTGGGACACAGCAAGCTGAAATCATCCGATATTCCGATGTATAAATAGTCAATTAGGATCTAAGGCATAGTACGTTTTTTATGAGGTTCATAGAAAAGCATCTATCTAGAATACCAGTCGGAATAATTATGTAGTCATGAGCTAAAGGGGGGCCGAACAAAGAACCTCATATATGCTAATTATAAATTCGATAAATATATATCCATACTGTTAGAAGAGAGAGAGAGGGGTTTGGTGAAATAGTTGTTGTATCGCTTAAGCCTCGTGGGCATATATATAGGAGTACATGATCTACTTGGAGTACAAGACAAGCCAGAATATTCCTAGTTTATCATATGTTTCCTAATACAATCACGTTACTCAACATCCCCCCGCAGTCACAACGGTAGCGACGCAGACGGTGAGACTGGAGAAGAATCCGAAGGCAAGCCGACGGACACCCCCCACAGTCATAACGGTCGATGCATCGCGGAAGGCGTGGTTGGAGTGGAAACCCACGAGGTTGCTCAAGCAAGGCGGTAGCCCTTTGTGCCGTTTGTCGAGGTAGCCGAGAGCGTGGGTGGTGGAGCCGTGGTCGAGGTAGCCATGCGAAGAATGCCGTGGTCGATGTCGAGTCGGGGTGGCCGGTGTCGAGGAAGTCGCTGTGGAGCTGTGGGCGCAAGGGGGCGCCGAGTTAGCAAGGGTGCAGTGGTGTCGAAGTAGTGGTGTGCCGGGAAAAAGATGTTGTTGACGATGCGGCGCGGCGGGTTTGCCAAGCCCGGGGACACATCGTGGACGAAGGCACACACTGGTACTGCCAGCACCGGGCATGCGTAGACGGACGGTGACGAAGTTGATGAAGCGCCGACCAGGCTTGCCAGGCCCGGGGACACGTCATGGATGAAGTCACGCATCGGTGTTGCCAGCACCGGGCATGCGGAGACTGGGACCTGCACGAGTTGTTCGCCATATCGAGGAATCGGAGGGCCAGCAGAGAAGAAGACTCGGCGACGGTTGCGGTGTCCATCGGCGCGGGGCCGATGTCACCAACAGTGGTCGGAGTAGACGAAGTGGTCGGGGTAGATGACGGCGACGCTGGCGACAGGCTGGTGCTGGACGAAGACGAAGGGGGTGGACGGGCGGCGGTGGCGGCCAAAGAAGAGCGACGGTGGCGGCTAGGTTAGGAGTGCGACGGCGGTGCTTGAAGTAGGCGAAGAACCCTGACAGCGTGACGAAGACCGGCGCGGACGGTGGCGTTCCCGCGCCAAGAAAGACGGCACGGCGTATACCACGGGAGGTCGACGCGCGGTGACGGCGGAGTGGAGCGCGGGCCGCGGCGCTACGGCTCGAAGGGGCAACGCAACGGCGGTTCATGATTCGGTGCAACCGCGGGAACGGCCTCGAGGCGGCGGTGAGGACTGCGTATCGCGACACTATGGCCTGAAGGGGCGACGCAGCGGCGGCGCACGAGTCGATGCAGTCGCGAGGAGAACCACGGGGCGGCGGTGCTGCGGCCCGACGGGGCGACGCTGCGGCAGCCCAATGCTCAATCGGTGAAGAGGCGCGCGGTACTCGGGACGATCTTCACGAGACCTGCGGAGGCGCGCGTAACCGACAGGCCAGGTCGGTCGCACGGCGTAGATGAGGCGGATCGCGGAGGCGAGCGGGTGATCAAGCCGAGCGCTCGCGAGGTCGGGACGTCGCTCGGTAGAGGCGGGGTGGCAGCGGAGTCCGTGGTGAAGCCGGCGACGACGGACGGCGTGGGACGTCGTGCGAACGAGCTTGTCAGCAACATCACCCGGGCTGCCAAAGCAGCGCCGGCGCCCGGGCAGCAAGGCCCGAGCGACCAACGGAAAAGCGGCGCCCGTGTTGAGGCAGCCGACGAGCCTGATGTAGCCGTCCCGATGCAGCCGAGAACAAGGCTGGCAAAGTAGACCACCGGGCCGTCGTGCAGACGCGGCGGAGATGGTTGATGTGGATCGATGGGCGGGCCGGCGCGCGAGCAACAACTATGATTGACCGTCGCATGGCGCGAGGCCGCCGGGTCGAGGCGATGCAGGTTGTTGACGCCGCCTCTCCTCGCAGCGCCTTCTTCTTATTCTTGGCTGTCTCTCACAACTCAACCCTCTCTCTTGCGGTTTCTCTCAAACACACACCATGGAAAAAACTCTCACGAAACACACACACACGCATGGACCAAGGAAGAAGGAGGCAATAGCTTTGCAAGAGACACCTTCCTCTTGGTCAGCCATGGCTACATCTTTTTCTCAGCCCTCACGGCCTCCAATTCTCATTACTTGATGGAACTATTTATACATAGGAGAGCCTTACGCACGTCCTGGCTAGTCAGCACTCTCGGCCACCACACACCACGCACGCACGCACGCACCACTAACAGACTAACCACATGACTCTGTCTCTATCCCCTGAAATCGCTCCAGGATATACACAAGACCGGCCATCATGCAAACCCACGCAGGAGGCTAGCTAGCATATCGCATGCACTAACAAACTCACCGAATCTTCTCAGCTTTAGCTATTCATCCAGCCGGCCGTCAGACTCCATCACGCGTCTTGTTGCTTCACACAACATCGCCGTATCGCACGACCTTGTCGTCTCGCGCAGAACTGCAGCTTCACACTGTCATCGGCATCTCGCCGTGCTCGCCGTATCGCACGGTAGTCCGGCATCTCGCGTCCTTCGCGCGCCTCCGCTGAAACCTTGCCGGCTAGCTACTCCCTAAACCATCTAAGACAACATGCAAATAGCAAAACTAAATATACGGATACATTGAATCAAAATTAGTGCTAACATAGGTGTTCCGGTCGGAGCAGGGCGGTGACGGCCGGCGCAGGCCGATGGGCGGACCGACACGCGGACGGCGGCTGGCCCCGACGGGCCGCCTCGGCGCGCGTGGCCGCCGGGTCGGAGGAGAGGCCGGCTGGTCGCGTCGGGGTCGGAGTAGAGATGCACGAGGGTCGACGGCGGCTGCGGGCGACGCAAACCAATCAAGAATAGATCGGAAAACCAAAAAGAAAAACGTCAATCAAAACGACCGGCGAGAGAGCGAAAAACCCGGATCAAAAGATCGGGAAAAAGACTTTATAGGGCAGCCGGTCAACACGATCGGCGGACGAACCCTACATACCGGCGGCGCGGCCTCCGGCGCCGGTCATGAAGGCCGACCGACCCGGGGACGGCGCGCGGGTGCGGAAGTGGCGGCGGCTAGGGTTTAGGATCGACTTGCGATAGATACTATGTTAGAAGAGAGAGAGGTTTGGTGTAATAGTCGTTGTATTGCTTGAGCCTCGTGGGCATATATATAGGAATACATGATCTATTTGGAGTACAAGACAAGCCAGAATATTCCTAGTTTATCTTATGTTTCCTAATAC